ACTGATCAAATGGGATGTGAAGTTAGATTAATATTATAATACTCTTCTGATATTGAATAGTAGCCAGTCAAAGTGAAATATTATAATTATGTCCTTTTTGTACATCCATACTATATTTTGATTTTTCAAACATGTCTTCATTTAACCTTTAGCATTCAGCATTATTAATATTACTTCCCGTTCCACTGCATTCTTTTTCAAGGCCTCTCAATTACTGTAATCTGATTGCTAATTTCACACAAAGGTGTTTTCTGTAGCCATAGCAGGATATAGCAACACAACTATGAAACACAAACAAATTCAAATTCAGGAATCAGTCACTTTCAGTGGCAGGATAAGTTTTCTGCACAGCAAATGAAGTCACATACAGAATGATAAAAAGGTTAATACAGGAATATACTCAAATTAAATTCAAAATCACACTGATAAATTACAAAAGATATAATATACAGTAGAATCCCTGACAACCAGACTAAGAAGGCTTTCTGGATATGAGGAATTTGTTACAAAATTCGGATATGAGGAGTTATATTTAAATTAAAATAAAAGAACTGAAATCAGGTTTAACATTTATTTTCAATGTTTTATAGTAAAAAGAATTAAGATAATGACAGTGAAATATAATGGAATTTAAGGAAAAAGAAATAAATTATATAATGTTAATGAAAATTAATTACATTAAGTATGCCACATATGCAAAACAAATAATGTAATGAGGATTTTTTAATCACTGTTGCATGATGATTTTTTTTTTCTTCTAATGTTATTCTCAACTTTTTTCCTGCATTTTGTTTTACTTTTTTTTGAAATTTTTTAAACAAAAGACACTTTTTAACTCTGTGTGCATTATTGCAATCGTCATCGCTGAATGCTTTCTTTCTTTCCATAAAACTGCCAACCTTTTCAATAGCTTTTTCAATTTCGGTCCAGGTTTCATCACAATCATGTTTTTTATTTCCTTGCTCATTGTGACAGTGTGAATGCTGGAGAATAGTTTCTTTGGAAGATTTTATGATATAAAGTTGACTTTCCTATGTTGAACTCGGCCATTAGTTACAATGAACTTTCACCAGCGTCTAGTCTGTTTAAAATTTCCACTTTTTGCGATAACTCCAAAGTTGTTATTTTCCTGTTATTCCCATCATCTTTTGCACCAATGCAAGCCATTAGGGTGAAATAAGCATAGGCAATGATCTAAAGTAAACTTCCTGAATAACAGAAATTTCAAATCGGTTACATATCAACAAACTAGCTAAAATATACACATCAAAATCATGTCTGGGTATGCAGGATTCTGGATATGAGTCACTTGACTGTATATTCTATATTCACATGCATAAAAAAAATGAGGAAGTGTTTCAAGAAAGACTCAAAAAAAAAAAAACCTTCCTAAAACAAAATCTATGATCTGGAACTGAAATGAAAGCAGTGACTGTCCTGGGTGTGACGATAAACTACATCCGGCAGCAGGAGATTTTGAGGAGTGTGGAACTACCTCTTAATTGCTGGTGTTCTCAGGTCCACCTTGACCCAGGATGGTATCACCTGTTAGCGTCTCAGCTTTGGGCAAATAGTTAACACCCAAACTGTAGTCAAAACACTATGAAAGTGTAAAAATAGGTTTTAATACCTGTAATACATTTTTGTAAATAATTATTACCAGCAATACATTTTTGAAGGAAAAAATGATTACCAGCAATACATTTTTGAAAAAAAAAAAAATTACCAGCAATAAAAATCTTGTCAGCATTAAATAACCTATTTTAGTTGATATGCTTTAAAATAAACTAAACCTAACTAAACGAAAGCAGTGATGGTACCTACACTGAATCCGTCTTAAAAATTCAGGGTGTGGAATTAGTAAATACTAAACACTTCAAATATTTTAGTGCCTGGGTCAGTTATAAGAAATTTAGTATAGGAGACGAATATATAACAAAGTGGAAAAAGTTTTCTTGTGACGCGTTTCAGCCTTGAGGACTTAATCAGACTAAATTTCTTATATTGGTGTGACTACACATGTGCACAAACCAACGATGCTGGGAATTAAAATATATTTTTTTTAATCTAGCTGATTTCATTTTGAGTTTTGCTTATTTTTAGTCTAGCCCAGTGATTTTCAACCTTTTTTTAGCCATGGCCTACTTTTGCTTTTAATTTTTGTTGTTGGACCTCCATAACAATTCAATGATAAAATACTTATTTTATTTTTTTACTAATAGATAAGTTTAGGAAATTGTATTTTAGAAATAGTAAATGTAAATGTTTCCTTTGTATATAACTCTTATATAATTTATATATTAAATTAATTTTAATATTTTATTTATTTATTATTAATATATTAAATCAATTTATATGATAAATTATAATCTTTTATATATTTTTCGCTTATATATATATATATATATATATATATGTTTATCGTTGTTTAGTGATCAACTATGTAAACAATGACAGACTATCATCACTGTCGTGTCCGTATATTGTTTAATATGTTTGTGATTTACATCTTTGATAATGGCTTAAGTAAGTCGAAAGCTTAGATTATATTAAAAAAAAAATATGGATCAATATTGTGAATTTCTTTCTTCGTTTAATGATAATGTTATCAAACTTATCAGATGTTACGAAAAAATTTTACATAAAATAAATAGACAACACTTGTCTATATTATTTAATGAAACGTGTATGTATAAATATATATATATATATATATATATATATATATATATATATATATATATATATATAATATAAAAAATTCTTCCTTTATATATCCTTCTTGGTTTTTATTCAACATCCGGTAGAGTAAAAGGGACGCTAAAACTTACATCACTTGGTCTCGTTTTTTGCTAGTTTTAGACTTGTTTTTCTATTTTTAGTATTTTAATATGGCATAGATTCCTGTTGAAATTCCAATTCTCAGTTGTAACAAACGTTTCGAAATGAAATTGTTCTATGGACCCCAATTACCGTGGATTCTCAATTTGCTATTTTATCAATTTGTGTGTGTGTGTGTGTGTGTTGAGCTTCATTAATGTTACATGAACAACCCCACCCACCCCAGAGTCCATATGGAAGACGGTTAAGAATCATTGCTTTATAAAGTTTTAGAGTCGTTTTTCTATTTTTAGTATTTTAATATGGCGTAGATTCCTGTTGAAATTCCAATTCTCAGTTGTAACAAAAGTTCCAAAGTGAAATTGCTCTATGGAACACCAAAATATTACCATGAACTATTGTTACTTTTTTGTGTGGACCCTACTAATGTTACATACCCCCCACCACCACCACCACCACGGGTCCTTATGAACCCCAGTTGAGACCTACTGGTCTAGCCAATTTCATTTAGAGAGTTTCATTTATTAATCCATCTAAATCTACAGATTAAATTGCAGGGAAGACTAGGTTCTCTAATTTTGGGTGGCAGTCAGTTAAAAGAAGCTGTGTAACTTTGTTGAAATTACATTCAGCCAATTAGGAAGTTGGAAAAGCAATGAAGAAAAGTTTGATAGCTTCTCACAGCTTTAGATATCTTTCAAAAATTTCCTTTTGTAATCAATACTGAATCATTTTTGAAAATTTAAAAGAAAAATGGATAAATGCCTACCACACCCTTAAGTATGTTCACTGCCCCCAAAATGAAATAAAAACTCCCAGTGCTCCTTTTCAGTATAACAGAGCCCACAAAAGAGTGGTAGTGTCCACGTTGGGAAATGGTGGTCTAAAGCAGTGGTGGTTCGTGGACCACTGCCAGTATGCGAACCATCAGCTACCGATACTTGGCCAGTATCTCGGCCTTACTAAGGAATCATTTGTAAAGATTAAGGTTATATAGTTTTTGTTTCTGTGTTAAGAAACTGCTTATTTTTTTTTTTATTACTGTTTATATGTTTTGATATTGTATTATTTTCTGTAAAATAAATGGAAGATAAAAAATAGTCAACTTTTATTATATTTATTATATGTATCGTTTCCAGTATAAATTAGTATCACCACAAAATATTACAGGTATGTGATACATTGAGAAAAAAATACTGGTCCGTCATATAGTTTGAGAAGCACTAGCCTAGAGGATAAAGATTTTGTTTCTATGAGCAGTTGTGCTACTCATTGCAAATAGTCGAGTACGTTCAACAATTAGTATAGAAACGGTCGGTTGTCTATCTACACAAGGAGTATCTGAGAGCCTTCTGCTATTTGGGATAAATCTAGAGCTACTTAAAGTGGTGGTCCACAGACTGGTGCCGATATGTGAACCATCAGCTACCAGTATGTGGCCAGTGGTCAAGCCATGCTAAGGAAGCATTTGTAAAGATTAAGGTTATATAATTTTTGTTTTTGTGTTAATAAACTGCTTTTTTTTTATTACTGTTTATGTTTTGATATTGAATGATTTTTTGCAAAATAAATGGAAGATAAAAACTAGTCAACTTTTATTATATTCATTATATATATATCATTTCCGGTGTAAATTAATATTATTACGAAATATTACAGGTATGTGACACATTGAGAGAAAAAAATGCCGGTCCGCCATTTCAGATAGTTTGAGAAGCACTGGTCTAGAGGGACAACTCTGAACTGAAAACTAGCCTAGAAGGCACTGTCAGACTAATCTTGCTTTCGACACACCCACTGCTACCCTACATAGAATATATGTGGTGCCCCTCTGATGAGTTACATGACTCAAGTAGATTCTGAAAGCCAATCAGATTCATGTATAATAAGTGGATTTTGCAGCCATTAGATAACTTACAATGAGAAAGATAACTAGTTAGCTTATCTTAATTTTTTTGTCATTATCTTAATTTTTTGATTTACTGCTTTATAATAAGTATTTTTTTTTTTTGACCTTCTTCTCACTGTTTTAGTATGTAATCTAAAAATAAAAATTACTATACAATCGTAGCAGTGATCTATCGCGTGACAACACTTTAAATGCACTAATAGTGTGAACCAGAGGTATAGAAAATTCACATACTCTGGTCCAGAGGGCTTACGGCTGTGTTACATTGAAAACACAAGTTCCCGTATGATCACCAAAGTTAAGCAAAATTGAGCCTGGCCAGTACCTAGATGGGTGACCGATTGGAGATACTTGGGTGGTTTAATAGATAATAGCTTGGAATTGTTAATCTGGGAGCCGAGTTCCAATTCCAGTTAGGGTCGTTATGATTACTTACACATAAATACCCTTGGGAAAGATATGAATCCCCCTCTTCATGCCCCAGCTATGGGTTAATTAGACATGTATCACTCAACTATTATTATCATAAAAGATTAAATAAATAAAACTGGGTAAAAAATATGTAGACTATTTATATTTTTCAGACTGTTGTCCTCATCTTTGTTGCCATATTCATGATGTTTTGGCCATTGTATGCTCTGGCCTTTTTCAGGTGATTAGAATTTTAAACTGAACCCCTTATTTCGTCCGCCTGAAGAAGTCTGGTGTGTACAATGGCTGAAATGTTGTGAATATGGGGGACAACAGTTTGAACTATGTAAATAGTTACAATACCTCATCTCAGAAATATAGACAAAATATTTAGATTTTGGCATTAAATAACCCATAGAGGTGTTAATATGCTGCCAAACAAAAACGGCCAACCATCTGGTGCAGAAACAGATAAGCAACAAAAAGGTGAATAAGACAGTTAATTTATATGAGTTATCTACCCTTGGCATGGAAAGCAGAATGAGAATAATTTGTCTCTTTAGACTTTGGAGTGTTTGATTTAAAATGGTGAGAAGGTTACTCAGAACGAAGACAGAGACCTGAAGAAGGCTGGAGTGTATGACGGCTAAAATGTTGTTAGTATAGCAATCAAGATAAGTATACTAGTCCAAATAGCAGTATAATATACTAATTTTATGCAATGTAATTGGCCCTGATCTGGCATCTTGTCTGCAGTCGCTCTCTCACAGACGTGCTGTCGTCTTCCTCTGTCTTTTTTCATGGTAACTGCTCTGATGAGCTGCTTTCGCTGGTTCCCAGACTTCATGAATTTAAGCGTTCTACTAGGCCGGCATCTCGCTCTGACCCTTTTACTGTCAAAACTGTTAAATGTAGCTGTCTCTTCTACTCCAATAGCTTCATGTCTTGCATCTCTCGCCTGTGGAACTCCCTCCCCTTTTCTTGTTTCCCTGATAGCTATAATCTTCAACTATTGAAATGTAATGTCAATCGACATCTCCAGATGCCTTGATCTATCCCCTATCCTTGTCTTCATCCTTTCCTCCATCACTCCTCTTTGCTCTCGCTCCAGTAACCCCTTGCGTGCTAGTGGCTTCCCATCTTGCTTGGGGTGAAACGCTTAAAAAAAAAAATAATAGTTTACATTTAAATATTTAAAATTTTAGATATGAAATTTGCATAAGTTCTTGTTCAATTATGGTATTAGGTTGGTGCAAAAATAATGACGTAATAGTGTTGTTTTTTGACGTATTTTTTAACATCAAAAAACAACATTATTACATCATTATTTTTGCACCAACCTAATAGTTTTTAATTAAGTTATTTTAATTTTATTTTAATTAAATTATTTTAATTAAGTTATTATTTACACCATTTACTGTCCCTATCTTCACTACCCACACAACAACACTTCAGCCACTGTGCCCCACAGCTCTTAATGTAAATATAAAACTGGACACTGAACAGCAACAGTCATGCTTGAACACAATCTTCAGGCCTGGAGATTGCATTCAAGCATGAAACATGTCCCCTTGGATATTTACACATGCTCTATCCCTGACATTGAGCACTTTTACCTATAAATATAGCATATCATAAAATTATATTTTTATTATTTACTAGCAGTGGAACCTGGCGTTGCCCGGGGATGTAACAGTAAGAGATAGATCAAGTATCGACCATCATAAAGACTGAAAAATAAAATTGACAAAGCTTATTGTTTAAGGTTTTTTTTTTTTTTTTTTTTTTTTTTTACAAATTGGTCAAACCCAAACTCAAACAAAAACATTGTTTTCAATCGTTATGACTCATAACGATTGAATAGAATTTTATTATAAACAGTTGTCTTGTAAATGGAATTTTTAAAGCATTCTGAATGTAAAAATAAAGAAAACAGTGTGCAAGACAATAAGAAACACTACCTGCCAAAAAAAGTGAAGTTTTGTTGAAATCGGTTGAAAAATGTAGGAAATCCGATCCCATATATAAATGAACACACACACACACACACACACAAACAACCTAGGTTTTATAAGTATAACTCAATATGAGTTGTCTCCCTTTCATTTTCATGATGCCTCGTGTTTTCAAAATGATTTTGTGCAAAAACAATTGTGTTTTTCTAATTTTTGGCACTGTCAGAACCACGGCAAGGTAATTTTATGTAGTCCTGTGAAGTTTTGTTGAAAGTGGTTGAAAAATGTAGGAAATTTGATCCAATATATAAACGAACAGACACACACACACACACACAATATGGGTTTTATAATAAGTATGATTATATATATTAGCAGGGATACCTGGTGTTGCTCAGAAGAAATAACTTCATATTAGGTTTCATTGCTATGTTGAAATTCAATAACATGTTGATTCATTGTCTTGATAATCAACCTGATCCCACTGCAAAGAATCGGGTGTCTAGATTTCTCAAGAATATGACTGGAGGTCTCTCTTTTTCTGAATGAGATTGTAAAGTGCCATGCCAGTGGTTGGAAGGAATTATGTAGAAATCTGTTTTTTTTTTTTTTTAAACAGAAAATAATTATGGGATGGACCTTTAACTATTTATTAAAGTAAATATGCTTTCTATTATTTTATCAGATTAAGATCAGTAATTATCTTTGTTTAAGTCAGAAAATAGTTACTTCTTTTAAAATAATTTATTTGGTTTCATAGTGATTTTTAAAAAAGGTATTTTAAACTAAAATTGTTTTTTGACAGTAAAGTCAAAAAGTAAAGACAGATTAATTTCATGAAAAAATATTCAAAAATCTATCTATCTATCTATATATATATATATATATATATATATATATATAATATATAAACAGTCTTTCATGTCCAGTCTACAATAAAAAAAGTTATAATATAAAAATATAAATATTTTTGAAGTATAAATATTTTTTAAAAATTTAAATTTAGTAAAATTTTTATTAATAATAAAATAATAATTCAATAAACAGAATATTTTTGAAAGCAGAAATAATTTTTAGAAAATTAAATTCTTTAGTAAAATTTTTATGATCCCCCCCGCCCCAAGCATGTTTAAAACGATTGTGTATATTCAGAATAATTTGTTTGTTTTTGCATTCATTTTTAAAATTTAATATCTGAACTTTTAAAAAATATTTATTTCAGTAAATTGGTAAAAGGGATTTAGCAAATTGATCCCACTTAAGCAATTCAACAAGAAAGATTTTTTTTTTTTAAATTATAATCTGATATAAATATTTTCCAAAACATAAATATTTTTAAGAAATTAATTTCAATAATTTAGTAAAACTTTTATTAATGAAAAACAATAATTCAATAAAACCTAGCTGAATATTACTTTTTCAGAATGAGTTTTTGAGGTGGCATGCCATGTTGTAGAGAATTGAGTAAAGTACAAATCTTAATATTTTTTAAATCAGAAAATAATTATTAGGTGGACATTCCACTATTTAATAAAATAAATATATTGTGTATCAAGTTAACACCAGTACTATAAATTATATGACTTTAATATTTCTCTCTGCACAAGCCCCACACAGAATACGTTATTAGCATATTGTAAATATTTTCCTAAAAAAAATACCCTGATAAATACATGTGCATCTTCCAAGACGAATGTAAGGCAATGCCCAGGCTAAAGTAAGCTTTGCTGGTCATCTAATTGGCTTGACTGATAGGGACATAGATTTGTATGTTGAGTTATTACACTATAATGCTAGCTAACTATCTAATTCAGCCTTTTATATGATGTAACCTCAGTACTTAGCAGTTACAAGTATTTCCAAGACTATAAACATTCCTGGAGCCAAACCACAAGCTTAAACATGTTCTGTTTACTAGCAATGGTAGAAGTCTTTCTAGTCTAGTATGTCACTGCCATACAAAAAAATCGGACAAGAGATTAATGTAAACAATACATGGCGCCACTATGTGAGGGACGCACGGTGGATGTGTTGTTATGAGAATGTCTTTTTTTTTCTTAGAAATTTCTTTCCAATATTAGGCAGCATCTTCCAAATCACAGTGTCTTGTAAGCCAGAAAATGCAGTATGCGTAAACATAATGAATCTGAGTCTGTATATATATTTATTTTGTTGTAATTATTGTAGTTTTTTTAGTTTGGGCTGGGCACACATGCACACATATAGAGACAACTCCCTTTTATATATGTATCGATGGATTTAAACAAGAAATAAATAAAAAAACTGAATACACCTATATTTCCTAAACTTAAGAAGACCCCAGTATATTCGAGAAAATGAACTACCCTAAAAATCCCAAAAGTCTTGTCTGTGATACGGGAAATGACATTGTTAGATTAGTTTTGACACTCAGAACCAGAAAAAAAGAAGGGAAAGGAATTAGGAGAGAGTATAAGGAGCCTAGAAAATGATATAATGGAGAAATAATTAACATTCTACACATACAGACACACACATGTGCACAAAAAGTAAAAAAAAAAAAATCAACATAACACCAATAAATAATGCATAAGTTATTTTTTAACTTAGTATAAAGATGATGAAATGAGAAAATCAGCAAACAATTGCAGAAACCTCCTGATGAGTGGACAAAATGATTACAAAAGCCTTGTCTACGAAACTCTGGAATCAGGGTGCTGAATATAACATAAATCAGCTCAGTGACAAAATTTATATTTGTATTATTCATATATACACTCAATTCTCTTTTTGTACCATTTTGCAATAACACGGTCCAACAAAAAGAACCGATTATTTTTTTGTATTACTTTTTTTACTTTAAAATGGTTTAAACATCTGTCCTTGTGTGACCACCAAATTTATTGCAAGTGACAAGTAAACAATTAAGTAACTTCAATCAATTATAATTTGCAAAATGCTAAAACTCTGTGTAACATGATTAAGTAACAATTTAGTGAAATAAAATAGAATCCAATCTATTTTTTTCATATAGTGATCCCCAACACTCCGGTGTGGGCAGGACCTATGCATTGTACATACATAGTATTTCAGAGAATGTATATGATTCCACATTAGTTTATAGTAGTGATGATGTAGAAATGGTTTCCCTGTCTGCAAGTACACTTCTAGAAAGCTTCCAAATAGCCAATAAATTTGGAAATTATTTTCTTAAAAATGATAAAAGCTGTGCAATTCCAACCTGATTTGAAAATGATTATGGCGCACTATGAAGAATCATTTCAAGAACTTACAAAAACAAAATCACGGCGTCTGATAACCGAATTCGTATTCAAAACCAGTGAAACAAAAGAAACACAAGATGTTAATTTTATTCACGATACACATGAAGATATATCACCATTAAATATTTCCAATGACAAGAATGATTTTGCGCCACTGGAAAACAAAAGAAAGCAGGCACATTTACTGTCTAGTAGTGACACTGAGTATGACATATGAATGATATATATATTATATATATATATATATATATATGTGTGTGTGTGTGTGTGTGTGTGTGTGTGTATAAATTAAATAAATTCAATATATTTGTATATGAAAATTAACATTTTTTTATTAAATATATTTAGATGGAACCTATCTCTAATTTTCATATGTACACTGTATATTTGTTTTACATGGTTTTATTTTACATGATAAGAGACTACCCCAAATATCCCCTCATACAAAAACAAAATTGTGTATATATATATATATATATATATATATATATAATATATATATAATATATATAACTCCCCCGTCGATATTCAACGTATGAGGGTCAAGCAGATCAGTTTCCAGGAAACCGACAGCCCAACACCGGCACATGAGATTTGATTATAGTGGTGAAGGCCTCGTGCAGGACCATCCACACTTTTTGAAGGGACGAATACAGAGACCTGGTGCACCGAATGCCACAAGGTTCCCAAACGACCCTCCGCAGGTTTTGAATTCAGAGTTGTCCTTCTCCTAGACCAGTTGCCATCCAAGGCTATAGAACCCAGTCTGTCCTGCTATTTTACCCATAGCTGGAGGGAGAGTAAGAGGATTCATACCTTTCCCAATATATATATATAAAGATTTGTACCAACAGAACCTTAGAATAGATTTAAATGACAGGGACGCCATTTTATTAATTAAACCTTTTTATTTTTATATTTTTTTTTTTTATAGAACAGCACCTGAGATATCTTTCGGCCAACACAAATCAGCACATCTTCAATTTTTCTAATTTAACCTTGACCGGGATAGAACTTTCTGTTATCTCTAAAGGTTTAGATTTTTGTGTTCCTCCCTCTACTGTCAGTGAAGAATTAATTTATTCTGACTTTGAGTTATTATATGCTCAACTCTTACACCATGTTCCTAGATCTTCAGAAAGCTGTTTGGAGGTTAAAACTAAGCTGTTAGAGTTATCGAATGAATATTCTGCACTTAGTTGTGACAGAGATCAATTTTTGTGGTGGAGTATTCATTACCAAACAGTCAAGGCATTGAAAATGCATGATGATATATTACCAAGCCAGATAAAGGATCCGGTGTTGTTATATTAAACAAGAAGCATTATTTGGACAAAATGCAGACAAAATTTTGTCTGACTTAGTATTTTTGTAAATAATGGGTATCCTTCCAACATAATCAAGCGTGTTATCACTAGAAAAGTTAGACGATTTAAGGAACCAGCTGTTTTAGGACCTAGTCGTTGTCCCATTTATTTAAAGTTACCCTGGTTTGGCAGGCAGGGACAGCTTATCTCTGATAAGGTTTCGTCTTGCATTTTTTCATGTTACTTTGCTGTGAAATTGCGGACCATTTTTAAGACCAGAAAGGTGTTCCCCTCCTTTATGAAGGATAGACTGTCCTATTTAAGTAAAAATTCAGTATATATAGGACAGACTAGTCTTCACGGCATGTTCCCTCACACCTACGTAATCACGAACACAGGAATAGAGTTTCTCAGTCGGTCCAGGAGTCGGCTATTGGCCAACAACGGATGGACAACCAGGACTATGCCTCTGCTTATCAGGACACTTGGTTTTCTGTCCTGCACAGCGTCCAAACCGAATTTCATTTACGTGTTTTGGAAGCTGTATATTTAAAATTACATCGTCCAAATTTATGCAGGCAGAAAGACCATTTCACAAGATCATTAAAACTCTTGGAAGGATTGTGAGTTAAAAATGTTTCCCTTTTATTAACTCTTTCTGAGCTGAGATTTACACCCCCCTTACGTTTTAATTATATTTTCAATAAATTTAATTTTAAATGAGCTCGGACTTTTCTTCCATTTTTAGTAAATATTTCAATATTTGTGTCCTCTTTATGCTAATAAATAATGTGCCAATGCGTTACCTATGAATAAGTGTTGGCCGAAAGATATCTCAGGTGCTGTTTGTCTATAAAAAAAAAAAATAAAAAGGTTTGATTAATAAAATGGCGTCCCTGTTATTTAAATATATATATATATAGAGAGAGAGAGAGAGAATGCTATTGTATTCATATTTATGAATACAATAGCGTTTTCTAAATATGAATACAATAGAGTTTTTCTAAAATCTTTCAGTTGCTAAGGACATTTTGTTGTTAATAGTTACTTTGTTTTCAATAAATTCATTTCGTTTTTGCCTTGAAAAGTCTACATTGGATGAAACACATCAGCTAATAATACAGTTTTCCTATTGTCTTTTACCTTTGTCCATATTGTCTTTTTCTACAGGTTAAATCTGAAAATTATATATATATATATATATATATATATATATATATATATATATATATATGACTTTAAAATGGTATATTTTAGGGGAAGCACATATTTGAGTAGACATTTGTTTTTTTTATTTTGTTTTTTGCTTTTTTTTAAGAGTCAGAAAATAATTAGCCAATTTTTTAAAGTTCAATATTAACTTTTAAAATTTTATTTTTATTTTTTCCAGCCATGTCCATATGTTCGAGAAATTCCTGGTGGCTTGCAGAATGGAACTACCATTACAGTCCAAGGGAAAACGCCATTGCACCAGAACTGGTAATGAATGTTATTATTCTTACTAATGTACCTGTGCCATCAAAATTAATGGCAAGAAGGAATGTATTATAAGTAATATATATTATATTGTGAGTAACTTTTGTATTATAAGTAATATATATTATATTGTGAGTAACTTTTGTATTATAAGTAATATATATCATATTGTAAGTAATTTTTGTTTGATTCAACCACAATATTTTTCTGTGTACCAATTTACAGGAAGTGGGAAAAATAATGATGACCCACCCACTGAAATTCAAGCTGTATTTGTTTTTAAAAAAGAATAAAAATTATGAGACACATGAGTTATGGGAAACATTAGTGAGGTTGAATATTTGTTTTACAAATATAACTTTATTTTATTTCCTTTTTAGGGCCAATTAGGAAGGAATAAATGAATAAATAAATATAATTTATGTAATTAGTTACGGAGTGTGGCGACAATCCGCGAACGTTGAAAAGTACATTGTAAGCGCAAATCTTTCTCAGACTCCCAAAACATTCATATCAGATTAGTTTTGTAACCTAACATAAACAAAGCAGTTTCTAAAGAAGTAATGGATTTTTTATTTATTAATAGCACAGATTTTATTACTTAAACATTATTTTACTAGATACCTGCATCTGAGTAGACGCTACTATGAAACAGTATATCTATTTATATCCAGCTGCCAGCATGAATTTTCAGAGAAATCTTATTAAATAAAGGTACATGCACTTTGGCAGGATTCGAACCTGTGTTCGCCTTTGTTAGATCCGTCATGCTTTAGACCATCTGTCTTGACACACACACACACACACACACACACACACACACACACATATATATATATATATATATTAAAATAATAGGAAAACACAATGAGATTTATAATTCAGAGTTCTTAACATTTTTTATTTTCAAAAAACAGTGCTCGATACAACAATAGAGCATAATATTATAATTTTTTTTTTTAAATATATTATCATCGCAACACTGAAATTTCCATGTTTCAAAACTGAAACTTCAATTCAAATTCAATCATAAAAATTAAACTTAAAATACAAAGTTCGTTCCATTATCAAGCGATGCCAAGAATAACTTTTTGGAAATTGATTTAGTTAATTTATAAGTCCAAACAAATTTGATATTTTGAGATGTTGGGGTTAAGGAAAATTCAATATACCCCAGCCCCAACCTTGTCTCGACCGACTTGATGGCTACAGTACATTAGATACATAAGGTTTTTTTAAATAAGTTAAATCTAAACACCCCTAAAATAAAAATAACAAGATTGAATTTTCCTAAACCTAACATTTAAAAAAAAAAACAAATATGTCTGGACTTATAAATTGGGGAACTGTGCACAATAACGATGATCCACCTGCCCAAATTCAAGTTATATTTGTTTTCGAAAAGAATAAATAACTTTAGATAAATAATAATTATGTGAGACAGACATGAATTACGGGTAACATTAGTCATGTTGAATATTTTTTTTTACGAATTTAACTTTATTTTATTTCCTTTTTAGTGCCAATTAGGAAGGAATAAATAAATATGATTTATGTACATATCTGAGAAAAAGTGGAATGTTGTTATGTTTCTTTGTTTTTCTTTTCAAAAACAAATATAACTTGAATTTGGGTGGGTGGGTCATCATTTGTGTGAAAGAGTCAGTACATGTGTGCGTGCTTCTTAGTCGTAAAGGAGGAATACAAGAGATAGTTAGAAATTAGTTCTTACTATGAACTGTGTCGCAGTTGTTTGGGGTGGTCTCTTTGTAGTTTTCAGCGCGATAGCTTTTTGTGTGTGGACATGAATGGGGTCTTGACTTCTGTGTGTCTAATGTCAAAATTTTACACACTGCCCCTCAGTTGTTACACACAAAAAAACTTATATATGTGAAAAATATATAGAAAATAGGAAAGAACTCATTAGGTAAATAATCCAAAGTTCTTTAGTATTTTTGTTATTATTTTTAAAAAATAGTGCTCGATACAAAGGAATCATATTTTTAAATAAATAATTATATATATATATATATATATATATGGGGGGGCATATTATATTTAAGGATTATTATTATTATTATTATCCCCTGTATTATCACACCAGGAATAGCTGATAGCTCATACCAGAGCTCATGGGATAATAGTTCATAATTCTTCTCAGTATTCTAGATATTGACAATAATGCTATCATCTGTATACGTTAAATAATAGTTTCGTTGACTATTATTTTTTCGTGGAAGTGTATCTCTGCTCAGACTCACTGAGGTTGACCTTAGAAGTCAGATAGAAGACAAAACAAGAAAGTTGATTTTGATTGGCTGAATAAGCATGAGAATGAGAGAGAGAAAGGATTTTTGAGTGGATTGTTTCTTAACCGTTGAACAATGTAGACATGTTTTCTTTCATGTGTGAAACATCACCCCAGTGGAGAGGGAACGATCCCACTGGATAGATAGAACATATTGACATGAACGTTAATATAATTAAGTTAAAATTCCCTGTGTTGAAGTTCTTTTATCTGTTGGACTCAAAACAAATAGTGATCATCGTCCGAGAAAGAAGAATGCAACTTCATTATTGAATTGATGCCAACAACCAAGACCACTCCACCACTGGGCTATGCAACTTAGGCTTAATTTGGCGCCAATAACAAGACTTCCCAAGAATGAGGGGGCTATGGAACAGATGGTTTCAATTCTTCTTATAATTTCCATTTTACCATTGTTATTATTATTATTATTTTATTTCCTTTGATTTCTGGTGTGTACACATTTCTTTTCGGGTCCCACCCAGAGACCTAAGGTTAGAAATGGCATCATGACATTTTCCACTGACCAATTAAAAAACACACACATGCTCACATATATTTTATATAGACGAAGCCCTTTGTAAGGAGTGGGCTGTACTTGTGAGAACAATTTTTTTATATTTCTTTAAGGTATTGGCTTCCAGGAATCCCTTCAATTAGTCTACTGGAATCTTTTCTACCCAATCCGAGGGCTCCAACTACAACAGGGATTGTTCATGTTCCCATGTGCCACATTTTTGAGATTTCAATTTCAAGGTCCTTGTATTTTGATAGCTTTTTGATGATCTTCAAAGATACATTGCAGTCTGCAGGGACTGCCATATCAATGAAGATGCACTTTTTTTGTTTGCAGTCTCTAATAACAATGTCTGGGCAGTTACCTTTGATTGTTCTGTCTGTGCGTATTGTAAAGTCCCATAAAATTGTAACAGGTTCTATCTCCGTAACCGGGTCTGGGTGGTGTTCATATCATTTTTTTTTCAGTTTCCTTCTCAAAGAAATTGCAAATTTTGCCATTGTAGATATTGGCCCACTCTGTCGTGCCGAGTTTTTATATTCAGTGGGTGCTAATATGATGCAAACTGATAACAGATGGTCAATTGTTTCTGGATATTTATCAGAGAATCTGCATTTTGGGCTAACACAATATTTTAGTATGTGTGCTTGATAATTTCTAGTTGGTCCTCTGCAGCAAGGATAGATCCTTCAGTTACGGGTTTTAATCCTGCACCAGGTATTCTTGAAGGCCAATTGTCGTAGTTTTGCAGGACAGTTCTAGTTGAACTAATCCTCTGCCTCCTTCAGATCTGGACACATAAAGATGGTCAACATCAGCTTTGGGATAATGTATGTGGTAGCAAGTGAGAAGCTTGCACGTTGAAACTGTGTTGCACCACAGGGACAGCTAAGGTGTTTATGGCTGATATTCTGTTTTTTGAGCTCAGCTTGGTATTTAGTACCAGACACACACACACCTGTAGTACTCCTTTCTTACCTTCTCCTTCATTTGGGAATGTTGTATACCATCTCCTTTGCTAATGCCTAAGTACTTATAGGTTTTATCTTGTTCCAGTTTTCTAATCTTTGAGATAAAGTCTAAATCTATTAAGGGTGTTTCTGTAATTCTCCCATTCTCAAATGTTACTTTTGCACATTTATCTAATCCGAAGTCCATGCCTATGTCGTCACTGAAACATTTTACAATATTGAGGAAACTTTTCAACTCATTGTCGTCTTTGGCAATGAGTTTGAGATCATCCATGTAGAGGAGGTGATTAAATGCTTTCTTATTTAGTTTATAACTATAGCTACTGTTGTTTAGTTCATGCGTAAGGAGGATTAAGGACAAACAAAACAGAAGGGGTGACAGGGAGTCTCCTTGAAAGATATCACATCAGATATTCAGATGATTGGAGATGGCAGTGACTCTAGTATGATTTAGGTATAGTGGTGTTCCACATTCCCATGCTGTACTTAAAGAAATTTACTACCATAGGGGAAACTTCGTACATTTCCAAAGTCTTAAGGTTCCAAGACTGTGGCACAATATCAAGGGCTTTATGATAATCAATCCTTGCTGTACTAGGATTACTATGTTGTCTCCTGCAATTTTCCAGGATCATTTTGTTTATCAGTAGTTGATCTTTGCAGCCATATGAACCTCTCTTGTATCCCTTCTGTTCCAGTGGAAGAATGCTGTTTGCTTCGAAAAAGGAGTAAGTGCAGTTCATCAGGACAGACGTTATCAACTTATACGTGGGGAAGTGATATGTTATTGGCTTACTATCATTATTATTATCGTCATTATTATTATTATCAACAAAGTGACGCTGGGGTGTAAATATACGAAATCCAGTACACTCATCCAGTCAGATAAAAGTATACCAGCCAGCCAAATGCTTACTCTATCTTAAAAGGTTTTGATAAAAGTAGTGTATAACCTTGCAGGCTGGGCCTAGTCAAAATTACTTTTAGTTGGGTGACCCACTCTGCTCAGACAATCTCTAATTGAAGATGTTTCTAAGTATCTATATGACTACCAAAACACTTTTTCTCCCTCATCCTTTGTCAGATAGGAAGAGCTACTGACGCCTAGGTTCAAGCGTGGCACTCTGGACTTATGAATATATGTTTTCCGCCAGGTGTATGAATAGTGGTGTCAG